CCTCCCTCTGCCTCTGCCCCAAGGTCTCCCTTCTCTACACACAGGTCTTGTCCCCAGCAGCAAACCTACAGCATCTTGATCTTGACATGATTCTGAAATCAGTCCAGGCAATGCTGCTGGAGTAAACCCCTGGGAATGAGGTCCAATTTTATCAAACATCTGTTAAAGCTGGTCTATAAATTTTTGACCATGAACTATGAGGTTTGTGATGAAATAAGAATGTTTAATAAAATTTGTGTTGATTGATGATGATAATGATATAAGGACCCTCCTGAGTTTTATTACAAAAACATCCTGGACTCCCACTGATTCCACAGCAGCTCTCATTGCCATGGGGGCATCACCAGTCCTGGCTCCATACACAGCATCAGCATGTATCGAGGACTTTCCTGTTTTTTCAGAAGAGCTCTCTCCTTTCCCTAAAGAAAACAAAACATGGGGAAGGGACATTTTTCACTGGGATAGGGTCACAGAATCTGCAAGCTATTCACCTTAATTCACCTAATGGATGTCAATTCTCTGTACTGAACTTGGCAGGGCAAAGTGGGTGCAGCTAGCAGAGAGTGAGGCTGAATGCCCTATACAGCCTCTTGGGTAATATGGCCTTTGAATACATTTGTAGGAGGAAACTACTTCTTCTATGCTCCTCCACCAGCAGGGGGAGGTAGAGCTATAGTCAGGAGCAGCCTGGAAGAGGCATAGTCAGCAAAAGAGGAGGCCAAGAGGAATGCCCATCCAGAGTTCAACAGGTCTCTATGCAATGTAAGTCCTGAGAATCCATCATATGTCTGGGTTGCAGTGACCACATTCTGATGATCATACACACAAGTGTGTCCCATGGACACTGACAGGAGCCTAGAAACAGTGAGGGCCTCACCTGGGAAATGCCCTGGAGGAGGTCCCTATTGTCAGCTCTCTAAGATACCTTCAAGAAAATGAGAAAACTACATCAAGTTCCCTTTAGGGGAAAGTTCCATGTGAGAGGATGGAACTTGCAAACCCTGTGTCTTTCACCAAGGACAGCTACCTAGGTATCATGCCCTATCCCAGAGAACTTTTGCTTATGTTAGAAGGGAATCAAACCATCTGTAGCCTTTCTCCAAAAATACAATTTAGAGAAAATACAGTTTAGAGATACTGTAGTAAACCCTGTGAGGACTTACATTTCTTATGCACTGACCATGAACTATGAGGTTTGTGATGAAATAAGAATGTTTAATAAAATTTGTGTTGATTGATGATGATAATGATATAAGGACCCTCCTGAGCTTTATTACAAAAACATCCTAGACTCCCACTGATTCCACAGCAGCAAACCATATGACTAGTAGTGGTCCCAGAACTAAGCTATACCATTTTCCTTTACTCTCCTCCATATTTCAGGCAGATCTGCCTTGAGAGTGGCAGCTCCTGTGCTCAGAGGCAGTCTCAGGTGAGAACAGAGGGCACTCAGATTCTTATCTAAATGGAGAATGCACAGCCTCCTTTATGACACTCTTCAGAGTGAGGCTGACTACCACCTGCCTTAATGTTTTTTTGTTTGTTTCTCTCTCTCTCTCTCTCTCTCTCTCTCTCTCTCTCTCTCTCTCTCTCTCCTTTCTTTTTTCCTCTCTAGCTTCTGCACAGGAGAGAAAACATGACCCCTTAACCTGAGTTTGACTTATTTCACTGAGCATTATGGTCTCTATTTCCATACAGCTTCCTACAAATGACATAATTTCACCTTTCCTTATGGCTGAATACCACATTTTATTTWTCTAGTTATCCACTGATGGACACCAAGCCTGGTTGCGTACTTGGACTACTGTGAATTGCGCTTCTATAAAAAATTGGTATGCTTGTATCACTGTAGTATGGTGACTTTAATTCTTCAGGATGAATATTGAGGAGTGGTATAATTGGGTCATTTAGTGAGTTTATGCCTTGCCTTTTAAGGATACTCCAAAAAATTACCAAAATAGTTGTACTAATTTACAATCTCAGTTCATATTGCACATAATAGCCACAATAAAAATAAATTGAAGATACAGATAAAAGCATATAAAGAGTTAAGCAAAATGGTATGCTTAAAATAAAATCAACCAATCATAATGGAAGCCACTAGTGGAGCAGTGAGAAACATATAAGAATAATTAGTTACATGTAGAAGCTAAGAGCACATTGACAGAAGCCTTTATTATCTGTAATATTAGATGGAACAGCAGACATTAGATGGAACACATGAATCTTAATTCCTTAATACATAAGAAATGTAAGTCCTCACGGGGTTTACTACAGTATCTCTAAACTGTATTTTCTCTAAATTGTATTTTTGGAGAAAGGCTACAGATGGTTTGATTCCCTTCTAACAAAAACACAGCACTTATTAACAGGACCTCGATCTGCCTTGAACCCTTTGCACTGCAAATACTACCAATCTGAGAGGCACAGGGTAGAGTACGATGGGCACACCTGGCACAAATTTAGGCGGGACACCCTGACAACAGGCTGTCAGGTGAGAGAGGCTTTGGTGTCAGCAGGAAAAAGGTTCTCTCTATGTGAATCCTAAACCAGCAGGGGGAAACACAGCTGCACCCAGAAGCAGCCAGAAAGTGGGTGGGGCTGCACAGAGTCCAAGATGGAGGACAGCCCTGGAAACCAAAAGGTGTCCTATTTCAGTCCTGGACCTGGACATCAGGAGAGTCCAAACTATGCCTYGGGCTGCATTGACAATGTTCTGATTGTCAGATTAATACAAGGTCACACTGGGACCCTGGCAAGAGCCCAGAAAAAAATAAGGACTTCACCTGGAAATGTGCTAAAGAAGCCTGGTCATCCTGGAAAGCAACTGCTGGTATGAAACCCACTGGGAAGACCAAGCCGAGTTTCATGGTCTTAGGAAGGAGCACAGTGTAAGAAGATGAGGCTCCCAGGATCTGTGTCCTTTTTGCAGCATGACTGCACAGGCCTCCTTCTAAACTCAGGGCAGCATTTGTGGCGGTCCAGAAGCCATCCCAATGATGACTCTTCTATATGAGGCACTTCCAAAGATACCTGCATAGTCCTCCCTTCTTTTCCTCCCACCTCTGGGCAAACTTTCCCTCAGGCTGTTTGTATCTCCTATGCTTAGGTGCAAGTTTGGATGGAGGAAAGGGGCACTTGGTCCCTTGTTCCTGGATGGACTGAGGAAAGGGGCACTTGGTCCCTTGTTCCTGGATGGACTATGCAAAGGCTCCTTGAGGAAACTCTCAAAGTGATGTTGTCTGTCATATGCCTTAGGTGACAGCTCTGAATCCAGAGTTTACCTTTCTTCAATCATAGTATCCCTTTTGCTTGAGGAAACCTTGACAAAACTTTATCTTCTAGAACTACGGCCTAGAAACTGTGACATTGATGACCTTCATAATGATCAAGGAGATTAATTTTGTTTACTCCATAAAATGTGGATTTTGGCACTTTTAATCAGATCACCAAAAACATGGATAAATTAAAAATAATAAACTTGCCTAAGGCTTATATACTGTGAAATGGGGGATGTAAAACATTCTCATTTTGAGGCTAGAAAWAGAGGTAAATCCACAAAAAAGTGGTTAATTAAATAAATATGGCCTAATTGGTGACATAACTAACAAGCATCCTCCAACCAGAAAAACATTGAATGAAACACCAACTATGAAACCGAAGTGTACCCGGGCACCACTGAGAGAAGGTGAGGAAGTAAGGGTCCAGTGGTCCATCTTCTGCTGAGTCAGGTGTCATCAATGGCTTTTCAACAGGGTGGAGTACAACCTATCGCCAGGCTTCTAGAAGGTCAAAGGCTCTTCTGAACTGGACCAAGATAAAAATGAGCCTAGGAGAATTGGGTCAGTAATCATGGGTTAAATTCCTAGAAAGTGACTGTGATCAGAGGTCATGGAATTCAAGGCTGATTTTTTGCCTAGAGCAGCTTAGAGAAAATTGAGTATTCAACCTCCACTTTTCCAGTCTCTTTTTCTGTACCCACAGGTATTTTGAATGACTTCCTATAATTAGTGGTCACAGAGAATGCTTAATTTGCATGATCACCAAACATGTACTTCCTCAAACATTTTGAAAGGAATAAGAGAGGCCCTGGGGAACTCAACTATGCTGTACATGTCAAGAGAAAGATTTCTGCTGTGTCTCCACCATGATCTGCACACCTGTCCTGCTCCCCATCTTGCTCTACACAGGTGATCTCCATAGCCCTGACACAGATTCTTTCTATGGGGGTACCAAAAGATCATGAGCTGAACCTTCCCAAAACTCTAACTTCATCTGGGACATAAACCTACTGAGTCACCTGGGTATGGGTCTTTCCTCCTCAGGGATAACCTTCTCTTTTCTCTTGCAGGCTCTGTGGTCTCCTATGAGCTGACTCARCCAYCCTCAGTYTCAGTAGCCCTRGGACAGACAGCCAYGATCACCTGCTCTGGAGATGCACTGCCAAAAAAATATGCAYACTGGTTCCAGCARCAGCACCCAGGACAGACCCCTGTGMRKGTAATATAYRAAGATAGTRMACGACCCTCAGGGATCCCAGAGAGATTCTCTGGATCCAGCTCAGGGACAACAGCCACCCTGACCATCAGCAGAACTCAGACTGAGGATGAGGCTGTCTATTACTGCTTGTCAGGAAACAGTGATGGTACTCAGACCACAGTGACACAGGCAGATAGGGAACTGAGACACAAACCCCTACCCTGACAGTGTCACACTTCTCTAGATTCAGAAGGACTGGAGACAGAAGGTCTGGTTAAGCTCATCTAGAGATGAAGAACCTAGACTATACTTACTTCCCAGCTCTTCAGCGAGGCTCAACATAGGGTAAGGCAGCTTGTCATGGTGTTTTCTGAGACGGGAAGTGAAAAAAGAAAGGAAAAATGGATGAACACATAGATAGGAAGAGCCATCATTCCATGGTCATGGTTCCTGTACTTCCACATAATGGTGATTGGACCTCTCCATGGCCCGAATCTGTATTCCAGATTTCTATCCTCTTGAGTTGATCAGCACTTCTCAGCTCCTGAAACCACAGGTTCTCATGGCAACCGGAGATTCTGAAGAGAGAAGAGAAGTATAGTATACAGAGAGGAATTGGCCTTGATCTTCTCTTCAGAACTGACCTACCCATCCATGGAAACAGATTTCTCACAGCTCACACAGGTACCCTCACTGCAGTGATGTTAGTTACAGAAAAATGCTTCTCCAGGTTCACATCCTTCTCAGACATGTTTAGTTTAATGACTGTTTGAGGCTATGACCTCAGGGCCCTGTCCTTCTTTAGGGTACCATGAAAGGCCTCCAACTCTAGAGCAAGCTGTTGGTATGCTGAGTCTCCAAATGTCAGCCAATGGGGTCATGGTCTCCTTCAACCCAGTGCTACCTCCCTCTCTGATTCAAGGCAGCCTRAGCATYATTCTCCATCTTGTAGTCTGCATCTAGTACWTTCAGTGAATGAAGAACTGGTGTCCCCAACATGGGCCCTCAAGRACTATTATGGTTTGGATGTGTGGTATCACTMTAAAGCTCACATATGAAGTAATGCAGGAATGTTCAGAGGCAAAATGAGTAAGAGAATTAAGGATAA